GTGTCGTGTCGTGTCGTGTGTAGTGTGTGTGTGTGTGTGTGTGTGTGTGTGTGTGTGTGTGTGTATGTGTGTGTGTTTGTGTGTGTGAGGTGGGCAGAGGGAGAGAGAGAGAGGGGAGAATCTATGGCTATAGGCGAACGTATATTTCGAAACAAACGGAATGTAAATCGAATGTATTTATGACAAATTGTACGCTCTCGACTGTATATGCGTAGCTTGTCGATCTCAAATTGTCAAATTATCAAACGTCTCACCTTCTGACTGAGATCGTTGTTGAGCCTGTTTTTCCTAGGTCGAACATATTCTTCAAGCTTCTTGAGAATTTCTTTGGCGTCGTCTTCTTGGCCCTGAGGCCCATATAAACGTTTTGTAGACTTCCCTACCTTGCTGTTCTATCAACCTGCCTCGCCATCCTGCGCGAGGTTTGTCATCAGTAGGTGTCGTTGGCTCTCCAGTTAAACATCGGCTGTTCGAATTGTATTTTTTAGCTGTAGCGTTGACCAAGGAGTTATATATATATACATAGTATATACATATACATAGTATATACATATACATAGTATATATGTATATACATATATGTATATTCATAGTATATACATATATACTATGTATATTATAGCTCCTTGGCGTTGACAATCTGACACGATCGATCCGACACGAATTATGAGGAATACGGATTAAATCAGTATGCTCTATCAACATACTCTTCCTGATGGAGAGATGTATTCTTGCTCTCCCATTTCCTGCCTTCTAGCTATATTTTCCGTGTTTTTGCCAGCGGATGGTTTTTGATTACTTCTGACACCATGTAAAATCAGCCACTCAAGATGCCATGTTCTGCTAACCAGAGGATGTTCTATTGTTTATTGTCGCTTTTCATTCGTACAAGACGTACAATTCTATTCATTTATATGGATGGTCGCTCATGTTATGGATAATGAAATTCAATTATATTACAGTGGAGACTATTTGTGTGAGTCTTCACATTATTCAGCCTCATATAGTCCGTGTACATTTTTCAGGGACGAGTTATTGTTGACATTGGAAGAAGTGCTTCGAATCATCTGCTGGCATGGCAGCATTTTATACTGCTATCTAATTAACCAACAAAATCTTATTACACATACTTCTTAAAATAATTATATATACTTCTGCCAGCCTTAGTATAATTATATTATATATACAATACAGCCTATATGGGCAAACGAACACGAACGCATATTAATTCTGTCTGAATGTTTCGTTGTCGGTGTTCCATTGTTTGTAAAGATTTTACGATGGCGACATAGGATCTGTAGTCATCTACAGCGTGAGCGCGAACATAGAGGCAAACGGTAAGAAAGAAAATGTGTGGAGGGGAACAAATGGACAAATTCGCTGCGATTTCTTAGGTCTATTGTCGCTGCCCACGCAATAAAGTTATATGACCCACAATATATTTCACTTCTATGGCATTAAATAATTAACACTTCCCAATCCCTAGTTAGTGCTAGAACCATATAATTACATCAATATATTATATCGCAAAATTCAATTTATAACACCTGTTTGGTGTTCGTGTTCTAAAACTAATTACGTGATTGGTATAGTCAACTAAGGAGTATAATATGATAATTGTTATTATAGTAATTTGTAAACCACGATCACAAATTAGGGGGTTATTGCAATACCCGGTAGAAGGGTCATTTCCGTTTATGCCGTATTTATAAATCAACTGTTGTATCTTTATTACCGTGATAACTCGCATTTTGTTTTGTGTTAGTTTGAAAGAACCATTCTTTTTACTCGCTGATCGATACTATGTTGAATTAGTCTGCCAATTAGAACATTTAGTACGCCATTGTGTCATTTATGTCTGCTTCTAAACCAGTCGAAAGGGTGGTCTCCAA